CCCCAAAACCCCAAAACCCCAAAACCCCAAGAAATTATTATTGTTGGATTTTTTTAGATTTATAAAAAATATATAAAAATACGATTCATAGCAAAAGAAATGAATTCAACACAAAGTAATTTGCTTACATACTGATTTTGAATCATAGACACCAACATGGATAATTATGGAGAGTATAATTAGAACTACTAATATGTAAGGAAGTACAACTAATGTAATTATTTAGGGAAATCAGAACTAATGGGATGATAGCTAAAATAACGATACTTACAATCCTTATAATTAGCGAACTCACACAAACCAACCTCCTCCAATGGTCTTTGATTAAAACAATGGGCACTAAGATTACAATCATCAAGATTCGTACTATTTTAAACCAAATGATCATGTTTATAACATTTTAGGACTGTGATGAATAATGTAAATGGTACTAAATTCAACCAAACTTAAAGCGATTAGGATGATTATGCTGAATCATTTGGATAGCACCTTACAAATCAAAGTCAATAGTAGCCTCTAGCCAACCCCTATCATAATAATAATTCATATCAGCTTAGTTAGGCATAAGCTAATACAGTTCCTAAGAGTATTTTTGAAGGCCATAATGAGTTCTATGACTTAAAATCTGGTATCGCTAGTAATTTTAAAGATATTATGAATCTGAGGAAACAAGAGCCTCCTGTAATTGAGGTAGCAATTCCTGTAATCAAGAATGGCCATCACGAATACCAAATAATTGGAAATGATCAATTAGGGCATTTTGATGTCTCAAGAAGATTCAAGCATTTTCATCTATTCAGAGAGATCTTATATAAAAGATTCCTAGGATTGTACATCCCTCCAATCCCAGAAAAGAAAAAGCTTGTAATTTTTGTTATGATATAAATTCTAGGGGAACAAAGAGTTAAACTTTGTCTAGGAAAGATAAATATTTTTGGATAGATTTATGAAAGAGGTTGCTTTGCTGCCCTATATTTATGAGTCTTTGGAATTCTAGACTTTTATCAGGCCAAGTGAAGATGTTGTAAGAGCTTTAGAAAAGCTCCCCAAAATGACAACTGATGACTTACTTAAAAGGTTCAGGGAAATCATGCCAGTGAATGAGGTAAAAGCAATACTATTCTTATATGTATTTTATAGATGGCTGATCCGATTAAACTAAAGCATTATAATGACAAGATTAATGATTTCAATAAAGACTGTGGCGAATTTATCGCTCATTTGAGACAGTTCAAGATTTAGATAAAGAGAATAGTGCCCATAAAGGAACAAGAAGTGATGCATTACAAAGGATTTATAGATATGCTTGTCAAGTATGAAGACCTAAATATCAAAAAGGCTAATGAAGAGACTCCTTTCTAAGTAAATATTTTATCTGGTGATAATTGCATTGACATGAAGGACAAACTCACTCAAACTGTAACTATTTTTGCAATTAAATTTAAAGTCTTAACAATTGAAAAATCCATTTAAGCACATTTAGTGCTGGGTTTAAGGAGAGCTGATGGAATTAAGTGCTCTGCTATAGTGCATATCAAGGAAAGAAGGAGTTGAAGCTATGAGAACAAGAGCGATTAGCAAACTTAGAGACGATAAGGACACTGCTGATAAGCTTGGCAGTGGTAAATTCACCTTCAAGGGCTTGTTTAAATCTCAAACAGGCAAAGCAACTGAGACTCAAAACATTTTGCAAACAATCGCTTAAACTGAGTAGGATATCCAGAACTACTAAGTAATTAAGGACTATTTGCTGATTTACTTGCATGATATCGCAATACCTGCCTTCAAACACTAAAAAATGTAAAATTATGTCAAAGCTATGATTTTATTCTGTGACTCGGAGATAAATAATTCCAATATGCAGGTCGCCACTTGGCAAGATTTCAAAGAAGCTATCAAAAAAGTGAAATTTGAATGATAAAATATATCTAGAATTGGAATCCTATCAATTATCTTCAATAATCTTAATCTGATAATTAATTTAATAACTCATATTCTTGCAGAATTTGTGAATAATGGGGTTTTGGGGTTTTGGGGTTTTGGGGTTTTGGGG